TTTTGGAATTTTTGAATCCTAAAAAACATTTAATTCAAAATATTGTAAATCTTGAGTTTGAAATTTAATAAGCGTTTAAAAATTTCAGAATTTGGAGAAAGTCTCTAAATAAAATGTGTTCAGGTAAAAAAATCTAGAAGAAAAAATTTCTTATAAATATTAATTGTATTGATATAATTATGAGAAAATATTGTAAAATAAAAATTTTGAACAAAATTAAACAAAAAACAACTTTTGATTTAAAAAACATATGGAAATTGAGGTCTTAGATAACTCCAGAATACGGAGTAAATTAATATTTTCTTTAAATATGAAAATATCCGTTTTTCTGTGAAAGTTAATATGCAAACAAATTGAGTTTTAGACATTTGACATAAATTATTTCCCGACTGGGATGAAATAACACATTTTCCGACCTCGACAAAAAATGTTAGAAATCGTCATATTAGTGATTGTTATAATTTTTTTGATGGAACTGGCAAGAGTTGATTATTGTRTACCGACATGAGAGAATTGTCAAATAGTAGATTACACACGCGAGGTGGCATTCTACCGAAATTTGTGTACTATTTTATTGACAATCACATTTCTTTAAATGTTTTTCTGTAAAAGTTAATATGCAAGCAAATTGAGTTTTAGACATTTGATGGGTAATTATTTTCCGACCACGGGATGTAAAGACAAATTTCCCGACCTCCATAGAAAAATGTTAGAAATCGTCATATTAGTGTGATTATGAATATTTTACATTGTCGCCAACTAAAATTTTATTTAAGGAACCAGCAAGAGTTGGTTATTGTGTGCCGACATGAAAGAATTGCCAAATAGTAGTTTACACATGCAAGGTGGAAAATGTGTCATTACCTCAAAATTGGAAGAAAATGACATTTCCACCGAAATTTGTACACTATTTTATCGACAATCACAAAAGTGAGTTTTTAACATTTGATGAGCTCCTAACTTTAGTAACCTTTCATAAATTATTTCCCGACCACGGGATGTAATGACAAATTTCCCGACCCCTACAATGATAGAAATCGTCATAGTGATTGTGAATGAAGTATTTTACTTTGTTGCCAACTAAAATGTTATTTTATGGGGCTAGCAAGAGTCGATTATTGTGCTGACATAAAAGAATTGGTAAAAATTAATTTGTGAGCTCAATTTCCACAATTCTCGTTTCAGTTACAGGCGAAATAATGAAATTTTAAGTAATTCCGCTTCACTTATACTGTGAATTATTGCCGTCGTAAATAACCTATAAAATCGAACACATTTATACCTATAGCTCGAGACCTGTACTTTAGTGCTTTTATTTGAAATGAACACATCTCGAGTACCATTTTACTAAATCACTTAAGACTGTTATAGATTTCAGTTTATGTTTCGGAATTTCAGGCACGACGACGAAAACGAATAAGTTTGTTTTGTTCATTGAAAGGAAGTTTACGAAATTCGATGTTTTGCAGTTGTCAAGCAAAAATACGACGTCCAAGTGCACGATGAATATGTAATTGCCGGCAATACAGCGGTGCTCAAGTGCAAGATTCCGAATTATGTGGCTGAATATGTGATGGTGACATCCTGGGTCCAGGACGAAGCCGTCAACATTTATCCCAACACCGACATCGGGGGCAAATACGTCGTCCTCAGCAATGGGGACCTCTACATCAGCAACGCGGGGCCGGGGGATGGATACAAGAACTACGGCTGTCGCACCGTCAATCGCCTCACAGGTTTGACACTTTTTACAAAAAAAATACCTTATGATTTTAATTGAATTTTTAAAGTTGAAAAAAAGATATAATACCACTAAAAATAAATAATAGTTTAAGTAACTAAAAAACAAAACAAAAAAACATAGAAAAACAAGAGAAATTTAGAGAAAAGTATAATACAAAATTCAAACATCTGAAAAAAGAGGAAAAGAATTTTTGGTTGTAGGACACAAAGCCCAAATCCACAAAAAGTAATAATTTTTAGCTAGATTTCGGTTTCAGAAATTTTAGAATTTTTTTTTATCAAGTGCTGCAACACCTAATGTACATACAAGCTGATTCAAGTAAGACGACATGTATGGAATAATTTTAGGTTGCATTTCATCGTTGTAATTTTATCATTCTTACATGAATCAACCTCAACATTTTTATTTTTATTATTTGTTTTTATTTATTACTTTTTAACGTCCAGTTAAAAGTAGTAAGTAGGTAGTAACCTAATGCACAAACTGATTCAAGCAAGATAAAATATATTTTGGACTGTATTATATCTTAATCGTAATTTTATCATTCTTACGTGAATCAGCCTATATTTTCCAAATTCTATAACAACCATTTAAATTTTTATTTATTTGTTTTTATTTATTACTTTTTAAAATTCATCAGTAGTAATAGTTTTATCAAGTGCTCCTACATCTAATGTATAAGCTGATTCAAGTATGATGACATGTATGGAATATATTTTGGGCAGCATTATATCTTTGCAATTTTCTCATTCTAACGTGAATCAGCCGATTGTTTTTTTATTTTTATAACAACGAAAATAAATTTTTATTTATTTGCTCTTAATTATTACTTTTTATGTTTGGAAGTAATCTAAAAGCAAATCAAATTTGTCAAATCTCTAAAGTTGACCTAAAAAAATTTTGTTACAACGCTTTTTTTCAAATTTCTTCAAAAACTGAGATAAGAATGTGAAGCAAGAAAAATGAATTTTTATTTTTAGTAGTGTAGAATAAAACCCAAATGTAAAAAAAACTACAAAGCTTATGTGTAAAAAATCAATAAAATAGAAACAGAATAAAAGATGTTATTAAGAAAAAATAAGTTTTATTATTTTATTGTTTTGTTTAGTTTGGTCAATTCAAAAGATGATCTAAAAAATTTGTTACATTACTTTTTTTAATATTTTCAAAA